TTCATATGTATGTTTACTTTATAATTTTCGTACTATATACGTATTTTGAATACTTTTTTTTTTATATTAACGTTTTAATAAATGACAACCTTCAACTAAGGTATTTAAGAAAATAATTAAATGATCCAAATTTTTATCATTTAAAGATCCAAAATTTTATCATTTATTGCTATTCTTTAAAGTTATAGTGATTTTTGGCTGAGATGGATGTCTTTTACATGCAAACAATATTTTTTGAGTAGAATTTTTAGCGATTTAAATGTTAAAATTCAAAATTTTGCAATATGTTTTATCATTTCAGTGTCACTTCTTATTACATACGTAGAATAAATATGATATAATAAAAATAAATATAAAATGGAACAGAATAGATAAAAATAGAATAAAAGTATTTTTAATACAGTCGTCTCTGTTCTAAATAATTATATTAAAAATATTTTAATCCCTAACATTGAAAATATTGCTTTCGTCAAAAGGAAACCTATTTTTAAAATTTCAGCCGAATTATAATATAAATACTTACATATTACACCCTATAATTAGGGTGATGAGCTTAATAATCGAAATCGGGCTTCACTTTTATAAATATTTATCCATATACGCGTGTAAGAACGTTATGTCGTCACATTAGTCTATTATTTAAATGTGAGAGAATTTGAAAAATTTTACCTAGAGAAGCAGAGCCAATCATAATGAATGGTCCTAAGCAGGTTAAGTCAAACAACACTGGAAATAGTAGATTACCCAGAACCGCTCCGATCCTGCCGACCATCATAGTGAGACTAACAGCCATAGTCCTGAAGAAAAATATTAAATAATTGATGATATATAATAGAGCAAAAAATTAGATAATTTTATACCTTAAGCACGTAGGGAAATTATCAACGATAATATTTACGACACAGGCACCGCCTATACTCGACATGGCTACGAAAACCGAACATAAACCGAGAATACTGTTAGTATGCTCAGCCCAGTAAAGTGAAGCACAGCAAGCGGCTGCTACTATGAAACAAGTTGCTGAAAAGAGAAAAGAAAAAAAAAGTAGAGATTATTTAACGAAGATATTTTATAGTACTAAATGTATAATCAGCATTGGATATATCTCACTTATAAGTTTCTTCTTCCCTATTACAGTAATTAGTGTGCCTGCCAAGGTATATCCTACTACACCGGTAGTCGCAATTACGATAGAATTAATAAATACCTTTGAGTTTAATTCCGCCTGAAATCAAACATACGTCAAAAATCATGACGATCTTTATTGTATTTTGAGAGAATTATCTTACGTACGTACAGTAAGTCACGCAAGTATTCGTATCATTGCCCTGCCCCCAATTGTTAACGCTAAACGATTCATAATTTAATTTTTAATTTTTCAATTCTCCAACTCTTTGTCAACGAAAATTGCTCATTAACTAACATTATTTATTTCGACATCATCGTTGATAAGATTTTCGAAGCTTGTATCATAGAACAATATTAATCGTTCAGAGTCAACAATCGAGAGAGTACTGTGACTTGCCGTGCCTAATTTTAATTTATATTTAATTTATTTTATTCTAATAATGTAAAAATTAAAGAAATACGTTTGAACAAAGAAGAAGAGAATTAATTAAAAGCAAGCCTCAAATAAGGTTCTAAAGCACATTTAACGCATTTAACACATTTGGTTATTAACTATTCGCAACCTAAAATAATCCTTTTTGCTAATTCAATTTTGACGAAAATGTGCTATGGATTCTTATTTCAAGTTCACATACAATTGCAGTTAGTAAAATATTGTAATACCGGTACACATGCGTGGGCAACGTTTAACGTTTCATTTGTGAAACTTGTTGAGGAATTATGACTGGTTCCTTGTTGTTGGCCCAACATGTAACAGAAGCGCGGCTGTGAGCTCGAATATTCATGCTTTAGATAATCGTTCTTGAATTGTTCCATCATTGTGAATAATTGTGGCATCCATAGTCTGATCGAATTTGATCTATAAATTGAAATTTCAACATTGGTCTATCTATCTTTTTCGGCTCTCTTAATTGCTTCACAATCGTGAGACCATTTACGTGCATCGCAATGCAATACCGATTCTTCATTCAGAACGAGATTTGATCCGAAGAAAAATGCATGGAACCTTGTCAGAAACAAGGCTCAACTGACTAGACGTGTACTCTATAAAGAACATAATAATTAATATAAAGAAACTAATTAGTTTTATGAAGATTGTATTACGACGTTATGCGTTAATTCTTCGAATTATATCATATACAAGAAAAGTGAACAAAATTGTTCCTAAAAGCAACATGTCTTTCATTTAATATTTGCTACAAGATAAATCCGTACGAATGATATTGTATTGCGAGATATCTCGTTCACGGTTGCGACACAGTTAACAATTAAAATCACTCGCGACTTTGGAAATACATTCTGCATAAACTGTTCAAAGAGAAAGTATGTTCCAAGAAAAATCGATCTAACCCTATCGTGGCACCCAGTTGAATCATGCCTATGGCGATGAGTTTGAAGATGTTCGGCGACAGAAAGAGTGGTTTGATCTGTTGCCAACAGGAACGCAATTTGTCCTTTATATTGTCACTTGCTGATTCAACGGAATACTCGTCCTCGATGTCCTTTACCTGGAAATGAACGTTCGTTTTTAATCGAACAATTAGATCATGTTGACTCGCACGTCGTGGTTTTCTTTTTGTTTTTTGTGGGAAAGAAGATTGCTTACCGGATATGTATCCGGATCCTTGCCGGTATTCACCGAGTATATCTTCTTGAAAACCTCGAGTGCCTCTTCCCTCCTGCCTTTCATTAAAAGGAAACGCGGACTCTCGGGGAATGCGAATATCGCTATGCAGGCAAGGAACTCCGGCAGCGAACAGATTGCTAAGAACACGCGCCACGAATTGATCTCCAAAGCCCCGCTTCCGGTGGTAATCGTCCATTTTTGCGGTATGATTAACCACGCGATACCTGTAACCGAGGTTTTAGATTATGAACATGAGGATTGTTTTATGAATCTTAGGCCTCTTTTATAAATACAAGTATAAATGTGACTACCGTGATTCGATATTTTTAGTTATGTTCTAAAAGATATGAATTTACGTGATCTATCCGCAGTCTGGAAGTAAGAAATGAAATGATCAAAGATTGATTTGTTCTAGTGCTTTCTGTATATTTTTTTTCTACTAGAATTCGATTTTCTTTAAATTGTATTCTTAAAAATATGAATTTGACACATAAACCTGCAGTTTAGAAACAGAAGATTGAATTTATTTTAGTTATACGTTTTGTATAAATAAAGACGTGAATGTTATTTATTCATTCATTGAACTTCTCATTTCACAAAGATGTGAAAGAAGTTGCTATATCACGTTGGATGGATGACAAATTTCCTTTCCACGAGTCAATTCGATTATCGATCAAAATAGTTTGCAAAGCTATGTAAACACGTCAAGAGGACATAAAAACAGGATTAAATACAACAACTAATATAATTATAATATTGTGTTAGATTGCTAAACTTTAGAGTATTTGATTTTATTTGATATTTTCCATGATTGAAATGAGTAATAAAATTAGGTTAAATTAAAAATTCCGAAATCAAATAATTTATCTTTAACCTTCTAATCAAGAACGATAAATCATTAGAAAATTGGAAAATTTTAGGACGAGTGAATTAACTTTATCATCCTCTATTAAAAGGTTAAATTATTATGTCTTTAATAAGGCCTAATGATACTAGTTAAAGGTTAAAGAGCACTCACATGGTAGAGAAATGTTTCCAAGTGAGAAAAACACCCCTAGCCACATGTAGGTCCGAGATCGATGCGTATCATTATGTATTTCTGCCAAATAAGACATAAGTGCGGCGTATGGGCCAGATATGCTGCAAATGTTGAAAACTTATTATCAAAATTAATTAAGTTTTATCAAGAAAATCAGTGTATATATTTCTCATAAGAATCGATTTGCTACATAGTTGCCCCTGAAAGTATTTGAATACTTATAGAAATTATTTTATTCTTGAACCTTTTTGAAATTTTATTAATAACATAACTATCATTAGATTATACTAAATAATTATTCTCCGTTACTATGTTGATAAAATTTCAAAATATTTTATGTAACATGCATAATTATATGTATATATCCAGTGTATGAAAGGAGCATAAGTTTGAATGCAACATAAAATCAAGATTTCGATTTTGCATTTAAAAGTTGTATTATTTTAATCAAAATTTGAAAATTTTCTTTCTTCTTTGAAATTTCTTTTGTGTGTCTCCACCAGAGATGTATGTATGAAAATTCTTCAAATACTTTCGCGAACAACTGTATGTATCGCCAGTAGTACAATACTATTTATTTTGTATCAAGTCAAACTATTATATGTCAGTTTAACATTTTTTTTTTTTTTATCTTCATTCGTCGTATTAAAGTTTTTATTTTTGATTGTTAATTGATTGTTCAATCAACTTACATAACGCCATCGAGGAACTTGAACGAAATTAATAGCCACGAAGTATGCGAGAAACATGTCGCCAGGCTCATTATTCCGGTGAACATGTAACCATAAAACATTATCTTCTTACGACCAAACGTGTCGGTCATAAATCCCCAGAAAAATGAGGTGCTAATCATACCTGAAACCAGCCAAATTTTCAACGACAGTTGAGAAGTAATGGTTGGTTAATAACATATACTTCATTGATATAAATCAGATTATATTTTAGATAACTATTTGTATTAGTGTATCTGTCTGTTTGTGTACTCTGGCATTAAAATAAATTACACAGGAAAAGTTGTGAGAACAAAAAGAAAAAGCACTTTTTCCAAGTTTAATAATTTATCAATTATTGATACTTTCTCTCGGTAGGATGTTTAAGACAACAGTTGTGTGTAAAAAATATTATTTATGTAGAAATTATTAAAACTATCATTACAGAAGTTTTATACTATTTTATTATTTTAATAGGTATTTTTATTTATTTATATTAATATTTTTGGAAAACCAGAACCACGTAAAGTATCAATATTCTCGCAGTTGATACGTGTTAATTTTTGATAATAATTTGATACTTCTTCTTTTAATTGCTACAATTTATTTCAATGTCAGAGCACACAAAATAGGGACAATCGTTATATATACAAATTTTGATGCTTTGATTAAAAGAAATTATCGGGGATACGAGTGGAAGATTTGTATTCAGAAATTTCGAATTAGTAGAAATATATCATTAATTAAAAGGTAGGAGATTAGGAGAAAGAATTTTGAGATTCACTTTCAAAAAATATACATATGCAGTATAATTATCCCCTGTAATAAGATACACAATCGATTAAATATAAAGTGATTAAATACAATTTTGATATAAATCGTGATACGACAAAGATCGACGATTCTTCTACTTGAAAATGAGCCAGAAACGAGAAAATTTCCTCGTAAAAAATCTCGTTCTAAATAAGAATCATTATTGAAATTGTTCCAAAAGTACAAGCACAGATATAAATCAATTTTATATTGGTTATGTTCGACATAAACATTGATGTGTCCATTTTCCATTTTCAGAAATTCTCGTATCTCTTCTATTTGGTTCTGTTAGTATCACAGTCACAATTTCTTCTTTACCATTCACTGATACAAATTTACTGAACAAATTTATTTATTAGAAAATTTTATTGAAGGTAGCGTTGTACGTGGCATTATCAACAAAATATCAATTAATAAAGTATAATAAGTTTGTTTTTTTTTTTACAATTTTTATGCCGTATGATTCGTTTTAAACAAATTGACGTGTAGTGCGTCACTTTGTAGGAAAAATAAAAATATAATCGTGAAGAAAGTATAAGTTACAATCTATCTAGTAATTCTGCAAATGTTTCTTTGTCTCTGAGAGTGTATCACGATTTTCGTCATAATCAACGAAAATTCTTTCCTACTACCGATTGACCAGAATTCCAAACAGGTCGCAAAACAATCCACTCTGTACTTTTCTCGAAAAAATTTCCAACACCTCAATCCCGATTTCGAGAATTCTTATTCTCTTACCTGGACAATCTTAAATTGCAGTTATTATAAATAAAGACGAAAGCAGTTTCAATGTTACTAGAACATTTTCTATGTATAAAATTCAGAACACTCTTTTACAATTTTTTTTCTTTCAAAACGAAATTAAAGGAAAATTTGGAATAAATTCTTTACATAAGTCTCGAATAATATTTGTATATACATCTTTTTTTATTATAAAATGAACTGGAGCAATTTAAGTGGTTCTCTTCGTGGTGATGATAGATTTAAGTCAAAGAAAAAAAATCAAATTTTCCAAATTAGGAAAACCCATTAGATTTGGAGACTATTTGATTGGAACATTTCAAAAATAATTATTTTAACCATACATCATGTCATTTGATTCAATATTATCTTGAAATAATGCTAACGCAGATGATTTTTCTCGAAATTATTTCATTATTTAATTCGTCAATTTGATTTTGTATTTTATATTCATTTCTACAAATAAATTTTTAAATACATAATCCATGTATGATTCTAATGTAAACTTCATTTCGTGCTGGGATTATTTGTTACTTTTAGACTGTCAATGTTTCTGCATTTTTGGAAAATTTAAAATTCCAAAATGTTATATTTAATACTATATAAGATATTCAATCGTGATATTTAACAGGTGAATTCAATTCTTTTAATTCTTTGGCTGGCTAAAATTACCAGAAATCTAAAAGTTATTTACAGTACTAGTGAATGAGAAGTGTATAACGAATTAAAAAACGCGTTCGTTTTTAAACATATAGCTCCTGGTACATTTATTCAATATGTTATGAATAAATCAATTATTAAACACTTAAAGAGTCAATTATATTCATAAAGATATAAAACAGTTCAAAATATCCGCCGTTCACTTCGACGAATTAACTATCATAATCAAATAAAAGAAACTATTAAGAAGATTCCAGCGCAGCTGTTTTGTAAAATATTTCCTTCGATTAATAAAAATTTTCTTCCTTTATTTTCATTCTTTCGTGAAAGGAGAAGAGGAAAAAGTTGTAAAAGATTGCTGTTTTAGAATCTAGAACGCACTCAAGGTAGCCTAACCCCTTAAATTAAAACGACGAGTCGAATGATCACTCGCCGATCTCGAGCGCGATTTCTCGTCGCTCGAGATCGTTGCTGGCCACGTGGCCAAACGCACGATGAATTACAAGAGTGTGTCATGTAATTACCATGTTCGTAGCGTACACCGTGCGTGTTCTAACCAGAAACTCGAAGCGTACCAAAATGCGCGCTTTGACTCTCTGTGTCTTTAAGCTCAACCTGTAATTACAGTTACGTGATTACGCCAATAAATGAATATACCACCTGCGAACGTCATCGAGTTGAGTAGGCCCTTGTCGAACATGGTGAGGTTCAGGTCGCATTCGGCCGATGGTAACACGTACGACATCGCCGACGATGAGAAAATGCTGGAGAAACTGGCAGGCAACACAGCCAACAGCAATAAATAATTGAACTTTCCATAGCCTGTCGACCAATTTTTAATCAAATGTGTATACAGAATACAGCAAGAGAATTCCATTCAGATGAACGAGCTATTCATTTGTATCAAATTTTTGAATTTTATCAAAATGAAACTGATCGATCTCTAATTTTATGGATATAGAGCAATGTATTTTTAGAGATTTAAAAATGATTTTTCGTGAAATAAAATAAATAAAATTGTATCAATACTATATATTAATATACGTTGTAAATTATAAATTATATATTATATGAATTTCAATACTGTAGTCAATTTCAATCAGCAGTATGTTTCCGAAATTATGGTACCGGTAGCGATTCTACAATACAAGTAAAAATGAGTAGGAAAGAAAAAATAAACTTTTTAAATTTAAAGCTTCGTTTTCAAGAAAATCGAATTTGGAAATTTATTAATTGTGCTTGAACAATTTTAAATTGAACAGAAGATCAATCGTGTCGCGAAATAATTCTTGAATCGATTAAAAATATTTAGAAAGACAATTATCAACAATGAATTGCATTCAAGGTTAGTTTCTTTTTTCATATCTCTGCTCATTAGTTTTCAGATATTTCTCCATTTTTATAAAATTCTACTCGTTTTGGTGCGATATCTCAAAAAATTTTTATATGGACAGAACTCTGCACAGAAAAATTTCATTTATCTTGCAAGTGT